GAGCAGATGGATGAACAAGCTCGGTGAGATAACTTGCATCGATATATCATTCTCAATTTCTTAATAAGTCGATTCAGTGGTTATCGGAGACAAATACAAGCACTGGAGGCTCGCCTCTCCCTGACAATTACGAAGAATGAAACGTCTCGGAAACTGCCAGCCGAAGAGATCGCTGCTTTCGTCGCGGAGAAGTCGTCTCTGGCCAGATCGAACGACAAGCTTCGGGAAGAGAACTTGGATTTGAGGGATGAAGTGGAGGAGATGAGAGCGATGCTCGAGATGCTCAAGGCTCAGGTTGGTGGAAAGAAAGGGCTTGTCTCGTCGGCGAGGGCAAGTCCTATCATGTTTTCTGGTGGAGGCTTTTGATCAATGTCCTCTGTTTGGGGTGTAACATGGATTGAAACCATGCTGGATGTTGTCCCAATAATGACGCCCTCAAGTTCCTTGCAATTGTTCTGGTTAACGGCGTTTTATGCAGAGACTAAATGTACAGAATAAACCTCGCACACTATTTCCTTTGAACTCGGTTTCAGCTAGTTGTGGCTAAACTTTCTTGATCACAATTCTCTGAAAGATGGAGCAAAAGTATACGTGATATAGAAAACACAATGCCCACCGCCTTGTTTTCGCTTGAAAAATCTTGGTGAATAGCCAGATGTGGTTGCGCACTATTAAATGACTGGAGTTGATGCGCTAGAGTACCGGGTATATATGATAACCGCCATGGCAGATGGGACGAGGAGCGGCCTCCGTCATCAACCCATCATACGATGCCTCGATGGAGGTGGGTGATCAGCTTATCATTGCGCGCCAGAGCTTCTACATCCCATATGCATATCAGACGGCTTACTGGCCAATTATGTAAACCGACATTTACAGTGCAAATTCAGACTGGATCTCGCTGTTAGACATTTGGTCAGATTCGACTGCAAGGCCAAATGGCGTACCTACGGTCAGTCGTCTCGTTTGGCCAACCGGAGCTTCTCGGTGAGGTGTTCGTGGGTAAGAGCATCAACTGCAAAACCTCCCTCCTGCAGGGCTCTCAAGGCTGCAATGATCCAATGCTGACAATTCCAGTTGACATCTCCTCTTCTAACCTGGACCATTTTGAGCACCTCGTATAAATCATTCTGTTGGGCTATGTCGACGTGACCCACGTCGGCTTTGCCCATATACGTTGGGGTGTCCTTGATTTGAACGTCCTCTGGTGTCTTAAATTCGTATGTTTCGGTGGAGCCGGTGATTTGATAGGCGATGGCGAGGCCATTGCTCTTGAGGAGCAACAACGACCAATGTTTCGCACCTTTAAGCAGAGGGTGACCATATTGGCCAACGGAAAGTGTCGTGGTAGGCATGACCCAGACTAATACAAGTCTGTGAATTAGATAATATTTTTGGAGGTAGACTTGCTCACATGGCACCGATTATGATCGATTTGAGCCAGCTAATCGGCTTCGGGCTCAGTCTGAGTCAACAATTCGTTTCGGTATCAGAACGGCATCCCATATCCTTCGGTTTGATCAAACCGCAAACGGAAGCAAAGTGTACTCCTGGCGACGGAGGCTTCCATGTACCTGGCCGGAGCGTGGGGACGGAGCCCGGTGGGGTGGCGTCGGTTGTGAGTGGATGTTGACCGCTTTGTGCTCCCACACAGAGTCAGCTTCCATCACCTCTGCCCCTTTCATCTCCATCCCATTGTCCCTCCGCTTCTTCAATTCTAGATTATGGGTCTTCGCTTTGACTTTCATACATAAACCCCTGTCCCACCATCCCCACATTTCTGTATCATTATTCCCCGTCCACGACCATAGCACGACGTCCTCCTACTGCACAACGCAATGCCCACCATCGCCTCGCCCTCACCCCGCCCCGCCCCGTTCCACCGTGATCCCTCACCGATCCAGCTCATGTCGTCCCTCCCATATCCTTTCCAGATGGTGCGTAGCGACAGCCGTCCCATTACAACCTTCACTGACACGCGACTTTCCAGGATACATCCGCGTCGAGACGCGTTATGAGCATCCCAACACTCATGTCCCCCATAAACCTTGCCGATTCATGCACGCGAGCCTCTTTATTTGTGAGTTTTACGTCGCTCAGTGGCATTATGTCCCGCTGAACACAATGCCGTTCAGAAGCCGCAATCTCCACCTCCGTGCTGTCCCACGCCCCGCCGTCGAGGTTCCAACGTTCGCACCTCACGCCGCCGCCGTCATTGTGCACGCGCTGACTGCCGCTTTGACATATCCGGTGCGGGCATCGAGTTTGACCACCTGCCATGGATTTCGGCGATGGAGTCCACCCCGGAACAATTGAACACATGGGACATGGCAGATCTCTCACAGCTGCCTGCTAACGACTTCTGTGACGATTTGGACGCGTCCGGTCCCGGTCCTGTTCGACGTCGCAAGACGTCATTGCGCACGAACCCGCTGGCGTCTGGTCACGAGTCCTCTGACAGCTCTCTGCTACGACTTCGGATGCAGCCCTTCGACGGCTTTCCTATGCTGTCAGATCCACGCACCCCCACTTCCGAGATATTTGACCCATCTGCCGTCCAGTTTTACGATCTCCTACCAGTCTTTCCTCCTCGCGACTCTCATAGCGACGAATAGAGAGACTGACGATCCAATCTACGACCTGACATCTCATCTCCATTTGAATCCGTCTTGCTTTTCTACGCATGCCTATCGACCCGACAACTGCATTAACCTCTAACAACTCAATCCGCCACAAACGCCCCAGCATCGTATCACAAACAACAATTACCTCAGTATTGTTCTAATCGACAAATCGGTTCCACCCAAATTACTCAGACACCATGAAGGCGGTTGTACTTTTCTCTGCCAATATTCATTCCCTTGCACGCTTTTTATTGGTGACATCGGACTCCCCCATAATCATTTTGATCACGTAAACTACCTTAATCTGCTCTTCTCTGCCTGGCACTTATTTTCAGTTCGATTGTTTTCTTCCCGCGGCTTATCTCACAGCCAATCTAGATTCCGGCAGTTGCAGTTACTTTCCATATCATTCGGTTAGTTCTCGACTTCAAAACCGCGTTCCTCTTCTCTGCATCTACAAATACTTACCATATACTTACTTGACACATACCCTATGTTCCTTCATGTTGTCCTATGTCTGGTTCCACTCAATAAAAGCACATGCTTTGGCTGTACATTAGCCATTTTTCTAATTGGTGCCCTGTAAAGATGCTTCTTCAAGTTCATGCTTCATGGGTAGCGTTAAGGCCGTTGATGCATGATGGACCACATCTTGAGCACCTTCCATTCTTGTCAAAATGTCACATATATGACTCGATCTGACTTGTAACTTGCCATTGCCTACCAACCTGAAGACCTCTTCCAAATTCCCGTCAGTTGTAGAACGTGTTTAAAAGAAATGGAAGGCAGAAGTATTAACTTCGGTGCGGGCCCCTCAGCACTGCCTGAGGACGTCCTCCAAGAAGCAGCGAAAGGGCTGCTGAACTTTGAAGGAACAGGAATCGGTATCGCTGAGATTTCTCATCGTTCCAAAGAGTTTGGCGCATGCCTATCAAAACTCGAATCACACATTCGGACGCTGCTGGATGTCCCTCAAACACACTCCATCCTGTTCACTCAGGGCGGTGGGTCTGCACAGTTTTCGGCCATTGTCCTGAACCTCCTTGCTAGACATCGGTTGCTTCATCCCGAGCTGAAAGACGAGGAACGCGTTATGGACTACGTGATTACAGGATCATGGAGCCAGAAAGCTGCAGCGGAGGCACGGAGGCTAGGTGGCGGGAAAGTGAATGTCGTAGTTGATTCGCGGGAATTCTCGACAAAGGATAAAAAATCCTTTGATAATATTCCACCTCATGGCGATAACAATAACGCGTATAAATTCTCTCCAGATCCTGCGCTGATTTTCTACTGCGAGAACGAAACGGTAGACGGTGTCCAGTTCGCGCATGACCAGGCTTCACCAGCCTCATTCCCGTTCCACCGTCTCCCGCAGAGTGCACTCTTACCGCTCGTTGGAGATCACTCGTCTTCGTTCATGTCCCGCAGTATTCCTCATCTCGCCGATCACGCGGTCATTTATGCTGGCGCACAGAAGAACATTGGTCCAGCAGGTCTCACGATTATCATCGTTCGACAGGACTGCATCGTTGACGTTGATGCGGCCGCTAAACTAGGGGCGTCACCTGTTCCCATCACGATGTCGTACAAGACACTTGCGGATCACGGGAGCCTGTACAACACACCGTCCACGCTGGCCATATACGTTGCTGGACTGGTGCTTCAACGGATGAAGAACATGGGCGGACTGGAATATTACGAAAATGTAAACCGCGCGAAGCAGGCCAAACTTTACAATGCTATAGAAGAGAGCGAAGGTATACTGCGCCGGAAGGTCAGGGAGGACGCTGGTAGTTGGATGAATGTTGTGTTTGATGTCGCCGGAGACGGGGCCGACACTAGATTCATAGCCGGTGCAGATAAACTTGGTATGAAGGCGATGAAAGGTCATCGGTGAATACCAGTACCATTGAATTCACCTGGGTGGACGATGCTAATTTGGACGATTTTTTCAGATCTGCTGGAGGTTCGTGCACACGGTTTTCACAAACTCAGTATGCTTATAAATTCCACAGGCATTCGTGTTTCTTTATACAATGCCATATCAGAGAAGGAGACTGATCAGCTCATCGAGTACATCAAAGAATTTGTAAGGCAAGAAAAGGGCAGGGTGGCATCGGAAGCAGCTTGATTAGCACATACATTCCACATAGACATCCCTCTTCCATTGATCACAGTCTCAACTCCTGGTTTTTTCATGGCCAGGCTATCAGGTAAACACCTGATATTTTCATTAGAATACAGTTCCAGCCACACGTAGTCTTCAACACCTTCTTTAATCAATTGCGACTACATACGAAAGTGTTGGAACGAAAGTTACCCTTATTAGATCTATAGACGAGTTTACGAGAGCGAAAAGAAAATGCAGCAAAAATGCGTCACCTGAGCGATTCGAACACTCGCGGTCAATGACCAACCGCTAACAAACTACTAAAGTAGCAGGCGATCCCGTTAACCACTCCGGCAAAGTGACAACAGTGGTGAACGTCAGTAGTGTCGCTAATTCCGAACTGGCCGAGACTCTATATAACTTCGCCAAGTTTTGCAAGTCTGGCTAATGTCCCGCTTCTAATTGCTCTACAAAGCGTAACTCAGCATTAACCCTAGTTGTGTATGGATGGCAAAGAAGAAATCCAAAGAAGTGTCCAATCCTACTCCATCAGCACCTTTCCAGTTTCCGAATTTGACGCCGAAATACGATTTGACATGTCGTGTTCTCCTGGATGACCAGATAATGGTTTTAGAGGTTTGTGAACTTCAAGTTGCACGATGGAGCTCATTCAGCTTGAGACGCGACTTGTAGGAATTCTTCTCTACCGCGGAATGCAAACAATTTGTGAAGTTCATTGGCAGTCTGCCAATGGAACTTACGCCGCCCAAGAAGAAGGGTGAAGCCGATCGTGTCAATCGTACGCCTGGTGTTATTGAAATGGCCTCATAATTTTCAAATCGCCCTCAGACCGGTTTTCTGTGACTTCTATGCCCTTTGCGCAGCATCTGCATTCCATTCTACTCCCTCATCTCCCATCGTTCGCGTATCCCGCTTCAACAAAAGGCCCCCGCATGGAAGGCCCTCGACTACCACACTCACTCAACTCGAATATCCGTGTCTATAAGTACGCCCCAGGGCAATACTTCGGACCGCATTATGATGATTCCGTCCGTGACACTGAGACTGGAGCGAAGTCAGAATGGACCCTTCTTATCTACTTGACAGGCGTTGACGATGGCGTACAAGGTGGTGAGGTATGTCGGATGCTAATTTACTTGTTCACACCACCTTTAAGCTCCAAAGGTTTGGTATTGGCTGACGTTCTAAAATACATTCTTCAGACTGTCTTCGAGACCTTTGATAAGAAAGATAATTCCACAGGGACCATCTGTCCCCCTCTTACCAGAGGTATGGCACTCCTGCATCGGTGAGTATTAACGCGTCTTTCACGCCGCTCGCTGTCGCTGACTATTAGACGTAAATATTCTCTACAGTCACGGCCAAGAGTGCTTGCTCCACAGAGGCTCCGAAGTCCTCAGTGGCACTAAATATGTCCTTCGCTCTGACCTGATGTTCATGAAGTGACTTGCGATACTTTGATGATCCTCGACCGCCTCTAGTCGATATAACGGAGTAATTAAACTAAGGTGGCATAGCTACAAAGTATCTAGTCATATGTACGTGAATATGATCACCGTCTAGCTTTCGACTTCTTATGCTTGCTTGGCATTCCCGCTTCTACCATGTCGTCATCTCTATCCCTATCATCTCTTCCACCACTTTCCTCCCGTCTTCGTTTCCTACCACGGTCTCTACCCTGCCCCTTGAGCTCCTTGAGCTCATTCACAGCTGTTCTACCGGCCTCGTCCACCCGCTCTCTCAATAGCGCTACCTCTTCCTTGTCGGTCGGCCACGCCTCCAGCTGCTTCCCTATCACTTTTTCAATTCGCTGGAGCAACTCGACGTCATACTGTGACACCAGTGTGATCGATTTTCCCGAACGCCCGGCACGAGCCGTTCTACCTACTCGATGTATGTAATCTTTTGAGTGAGTTGGGATATCAAAATTGATTACAACGTCGACGGACGGGATGTCCAATCCACTGTCTGGGTGGTTAGATTGGTTAATATTTAGTGTAGGAACAACTTACCGACTAGCTATGTCTGTGGCTACCAAGACCCTACGGCCTCCACTTTTGAACTTGCCGAGAGCGCCTAAGCGTTGACTCTGGCTAAGCTGACCATGCAAAGGTACTGCGGGGAAACCCAATGTTCGCAGGACTATGGACAGACTATTGTAGACAATTGAGCTTTGATCAAAATAATCAACCTGGAAAGCTCACCGTTGTGCATCGTGGACTGTCCTTGTGAATATTATGATCGAATTCTGTGCCAGAGAATTACACAAGTAGATAAGATGCACGTCCTTCTCTATCAAAGGTTTGAGGAGGAAATATTGTAGCAGTGTCGAAACCGTCTGATATCTTTGTGACGGAGATGTCAGCCATGACCTAGCGTCGAATATTTTGCCCTCACTTAGTTGACACCTCCACTTTAACGGGATTCGACAAACTGGCTCGCTGTAGTTTGGCGACTTTTGTTGTCATTGTTGCTGAGAAAAGATAAGTAGTCCTCTCTTTCGGTATGACTTTCAGGATGTTGTCCATCACGGAATCAAAATCCATGTCTAGCAGGCGATCAGCTTCATCTAGAACCTGGTAAAAAAAATAGTATGAGCCAAATAGCGACAATATATATACACACACACCAGATATTTCAAGGCTCGCAAGCTGAAGCCTTTGGTACGCTCAAGATGGTCTTGCAGACGTCCTGGAGTGGCTACAATAATATGTGGCTTTTTGGCCAAAGCCACGGACTGATCTATCATGGGTAAACCTCCGACAATGACAACGCATCGGACACCCATAGCAGAACCTAATGATTCAAACTGCTGCGAGATCTGGAAGGCCAGTTCGCGAGTCGGAGCAAGTACACATGCGAAAAGACCTTTTGGATCTTCCCATAATTTCTGTAGAATCGGTAGGGCGAATGCAGCTGTTTTTCCAGATCCAGTAGATGCTACCCCAATAATGTCCCGACCTTTCAGCGCATGGGGAATAGCTTCTACTTGGATTTCGGTGGGTATTTTGTAATTCACCTGCTCAAGGGCCTCGAGAAGAGGATCTATAACGCCGAGCGATCTGAATGTAGGGGGTGCATTGGAAGTGCTGGCTTCGCTTGGAGACGGCATTTTGTCAAAGAGGATAAGCGCCGGTCAGAAAGTTTTCCGCTCCGAAGTTCATGCTCCGCATTTGGATCTTCAAAGTCGATCGCCTTCATGTCTAAACAGAATGTACTTGTAACATATGCTGCTCCTCAGTCTTTCCAACTGTCAGACAACTGGAAGCAAGTTCAATCTGCTTTACGCTCTCAGCTACCTCTGCGGAATATTCACTGGAAGTCTGCTGCACGGCCGTCTATACGAACTATCCAGGAACTAGACATCGACCTGGTGCCTTTAGACACAACACGCGGAGAGAGTACCTCTCAAATTCCAGTGACATTATTGGAGAAGCCGCTTTTGAATATTTACATTGTGACATGTGAGGTAGGCGTCGTTCCCAGTGCTTTAGTGAATAGAGCCACTGAGCGCTGGGCAAAAGGACCTTGAAACGTACCGGAGCACAGTCAAGAAGCAGATCAAGGATTGGCACTCTACAGTCACCCAGAAGAAGAACCAGGAATGGATTATTCTGCAGATTGTGCGACCCGACGCCCGAGTCGCTGGGGGTGGTTTCTTCGCGATGAAGGGATCAATTTTGGATCGCATAAAAGCTGATTTTAACCTGGACAAACGAGACCGGTTTGTTTATTATACTAGACTGAGGTTGGCCGTACTTACAGATTGTTTAGATGTGTACAGCTCACCTGGACAATCGGGCAAGACAATCCTGCCGCGTGGGCAGAGTGCATAAACAAGATCAAAGATGGCCTGCTCTCGGCGTTCGAATCTTCGGTTCTTCAACGCGAGGAAGATGTCAAGCGCTCGGAGAGTCAGAGACAAATGCCCGGATGGAACTTTTGTACATTCTTCATCCTGAAGGTAGGAACATTAAACTGGCTAGTCTTGTTGGGATTCGATCTCATATTGTTCTCCTCTACAGGAGAGTCTCGCCAGCTCTTTTGAAGGTGTTAATTTGTTTCAGGATGCGTTATGGCAATACGACGAGCTCGAGACCTCTTTCTATCAAGTACTAAAAGAGAAAAACCTCTCCTGGTTTGGGTCTCTCATTACCCCTCACGCTAAAGACGATTCTGCACCACTTCTATCCGTCGACAAGAAACCCTACCGGGATCTCATACTCGCCAACACGATTTCTGTTTTTGATTTTCGGATATATTTGCTCTCTCGGCAATGCGCTTTGCTTGGTAAAATGGGCCGAATCGTTGACATCGGAAAGAAGTCTGGAGCATTTCTTGGCGCCTTTGGTAGACGATTACGAGAGGCAGAGGTTTGTCTTTCTCCACGAGCTACTTATGCCTTTAGCAGTTCTAATATGTTTTCAGCCCACGCTCCCAGAGTATTTTATAGAATCATGGACATATTCGTCCGCTCTAAGTGTCGTTGAACAGTGTGATAGCTGGGCAAATGGCCTTAAACTGGACAGTTCTACTCAGGCTACCCTTCATGCCAGCAAAGGCGAGCTTCTCGAGCTTGCGCGAAATCAGGCAAGTCTATCTTGACAATGAAGTGTCACATAACCACTGACTTGCTCGCAGCTTGACATCGTAGGCATTAAGGTCGGACATCTACCTTCACAACCTCCCTTCTCTTTGACCGTTACACACTCGCGCCGCAATTCGACAAACGGCCTCGCAAAGCGTTCGTCGCAGAAGATAAGCAAGGTCGATTTCCTATCATCTGTCGAGGACAGGGAAGCTTTCTATGACCTATATGTGGCTATCACCAATCGTGCCATTGATCTGTACGCGAAGGGTGGACGGCGAAAGTTCGCATTGAAATTACATGGGACTCTAGCCGCCCTTGACGTGTGCGTGCCAATTGTTTTCCTGTCAAATCTCAGTTATTCATATATTTGTTCGAAGTCACCGCGGACGCCTTTCTGTTGCTCTGCAAACATACACATCACTACCCGCCCACTACGCACCCCACATGTGGAGTTCTTTGGAATCATTCATGTTATCACGGGCCCTTGATACCCATGCTGAGCTGCAAAGGCCGAATGACAGAGAGTGGATACACATTCTACTTTCATTCCTGAAGGCGTATGTGGAAGAATTGGGTAAAGAGATGTTGATGCATGAAGACGACAAGAAGGAATATGTGTCTAGGCTGGTTGACGAACTGCATGCTGCTGCTATCGAACTGGATACAGGTGATGGTCGTGATAATTGCTGCATTCTTATATTCAAATGCTTTGCCAGATCTGGCCCATCCCGATCATCCTGCGATAGCAATA